TGCTCTGATACCATGAGAAAGTACGAACGAGGAGTGAAATGACTATGAATGAAGTGAGTACAAATAGGAAACCCTAATTGGGTTGTACCCCCTATGGGATACCCCACTATAGCCTACAGAAACAAGTAAGCTATGAGTTCTGACATCCCATACCGCGCATAGACGACCTACTCGATCAACTGCGTGGAGCAACAGTAATTTCGAAGCTGGACCTACGATCGGGCTACTGGCAGATCAAGAATGCAGACAACTCCGTCCATAAGACAGCGTTCCGTACCAGATACGGCTCCTACGAATACTTGGTGATGCCTTTCGGACTCTGCAACGCACCAGCAGCGTTTCAGGCGGAGATGAATCACATCTTACGACCCCTGCTGGACGAGTGCGTGGTGGTATACCTGGACGACATTCTCATCTACTCTAAGAACATGAAGGAGCACGTGGAGCATCTACGGAAGGTGTTCGAGATCCTGCGGAAAAACAAGTTCTACGTGAAGCTGTCAAAGAGAGACTTCGCCCTGAAGAAGGTGCAGTTTCTCGGGCACATGGTGAGTCCCGAGGGCGTACACATGGACCCACGGAAGATCGAAGCCATCAAGAAGTGGAAAGTACCAGAGAACGTGAAGGAGTTACAGCAATTCCTAGGCTTCGCCAACTACTACAACAAGTTCATGCCGCAGTACGCTAAGATAGCAGCGCCACTGACCGACCTACTGAAAAAGGATACGCCCTACAAATGGGATACTCTTCATCAGTAAGCCATGGAGCAGCTACAGACAGCACTGACTACAGCGCCAGTACTCATCTTGCCGGATCCAGACAAGGACTACGTGGTGGAAGCAGACGCTAGTGACCAAGCAGTCGGAGCAATACTGATGCACGATCACGGACGCGGTTTGTAGCCCATCGCCTACCTCAGTATGAAGCTACACGGAGCAGAACTAAACTACCCCATTCACGACAAGGAAGCCTTAGCGATAGTCATAGCCTTCAAGGCGTGGAGGTGTTACCTAGAGGGAGCCAAGACTACAGTCTATACTGACCACTGCAGTCTCAAATACCTGAAGTCACAGCCGACACTCTCACGACGACAGGTGCGGTGGGTGGACTTCCTGGAAACTCACTTCCACTACGACATCGTCTACAAGCCCGGGCTACACAACAAGGCAAACGCGTTGAGCCGCCCCGGACATGTACCAGGCATCTAGCTCGACGGGATGAACCCTCTGCTCAAGAATCTATTCCAACATGGGTACTCCGTGGACGCAGAGATTGCTACAGCACAGACCAAGAAGCTATTACAGTGGGAGAAAGACTTAGCTGTAAGGAAGGGTTCAGGAAAGATTTGGGTACTGAATTACGCCCCGCTACGGCAGATCCTATTGGAGGAGTTTCACGACGTACCTTACGCGGGACATTTCGGGAGCAACAAGACGTTAGCAGGGATAGCGAAGTATTACTACTGGCCCGGGATGGCAGCAGACGTGCAGCAGTTTGTCACCTCTTACGACACGTGCCAGCGGATGAAGAGCAGCAAGCAGAAAAAAGCAGGGTTACTTCAGCCTCTACCCATACCGGAGCAGCCATGGCAGGTCGTTAGCCTCGACTTCATCACAGGGCTTTCTTCAACCTCACGGGGACATGATTCCATCCTGGTGGTGATCGATAAGTTCTCCAAAATGGGTCACTTCATACCGACCAACGCCACGGCTACAGCTGAAGCAGCTGCTCGACTCTTCTTCGACCGCATTATCACCATCCACGGCATCCCCGCTACACTCATCTCAGACAGAGACCCCAAATTCACGAGTAAGTTCTGGAAGGAGCTCATGGGACTGTTGGGGACAAAGCTTGCAATGTCTTCAGCATACCACCCCAAGACTGACGAACAGACAGAGCGACTCAATCAAGTGGTTGAACAGTTACTGCGCACAGCTTGCAAGGACGACGTCAGCCACTGGGACACACAGTTACCGACCCTAGAGTTTGCTTACAACAACGCATCACATGCGGCCACAGGAAAAACTCCTTTCTTCCTGTGTTACGGACGGGAACCACTCACACCACAGCTGCCAACTACACCGGCACACGTCCAAGCCGCACATGACTTCGTCACCACCATGCAGCAGCTATGGGAGAAGACTCTGCGACGTCTCACCACGATGCAGAACTCCCAGAAGCAGTATGCCGATCGTCAGCGACGTGATCACTCAGTAGCAGTCGGAGATCAGGTGCTTCTTGACACGCGCAACTTGAACCTGTCTCACCTTCCATCCAAACTCCGGCCTCGCTTCTGTGGTCCTTTTCTCGTTGAGGCACAGGTGACACCAGTTACATTCCGCTTGCGCTTACCAGATACATGGAAGCTTCACAACGCTTTCCATGTCCAGCTACTGAAGCCCTACAAGGACCCCAACCAACAGTTCCAGGGACGGCAACTACCGCCACCACCACCTGTTCTCACACAGGATGAACCCGAGTACGAGATCGAGCAAGTTCTCTCTCATCGGCGCCGCGGTGGCAAGACTCTCGAGTTCTTGATACGCTGGAAGGGATACGACCCCACTGAGGACAGTTGGGTTACAGAAGCTGATATGGGCAACGCACGTCGTGCTCTCAAGGACTATCTTGTCAAGCAGGGTGTATCTCACGCCACCCAGCTTTGAGGGGGGGACGTGTGAGAGTACGACGGCTTATGCCAGCTATGCTTGCTTGCCTCTACTTTATCATGCTATTTCTAGCATAGGATAATCATATGCATGCATGAATTGCTTGATTTCCTAGGCTAGGTGCTTTCCTATATTTTATTATAGTTATAGCACCGAGCTAGGTTGCGTGCACCGAATTCTGGCTTTTCGGTTGCCACCGAATTGCCTTCTACCGAATTCGGTAAGGATCTGTTTGGGACGCTTCGCGACACGCGGAACCTTCGCGTAACACCTGGTTACGGGGCCTTGTGTCGAGCCTATATATAGCCTCGTGTTGTACCAAGGTGGACATTCAATTCAATTCAATTCAATTTGAATCATCTTTTCTGAGCTCGATCCTAGATCCTCACATCATCGCTAAGCATAACGGTGATCGCCACTGCTGTCCAGTCGCATACGAGCCCGACGACCTCATTCTGATCGTCACTAAAATCCTCCGCCTGCCCATCACTACGAAGCTCAGCCCACTAAACTCAGCCACGTGATCACACCTGACACCGCCCACCTCCTTCATCCCGCTAATTGTTACGTCAGCCCGTCACTTCACGTCAGCTTACTCCGCCCATGCGTCCCATCCACCAGTCAATTGCCCCGCAACTGGGAGTGGCTTAAACAGTCATCATGTGTAGACAATTCGGAAACAGACGGGATGGGACAGCATTGCGATATTTTTGTGCCGTCGACCAATTCCGGGGTGCGGCAGAACCGACAGGATGGGGTGGGACTGTCAGCATAGTATAGCTCAGCCGACAAAAAAGGCCGCCCAATTTCGCGGTAGGGAAAGGACAACATCCCCTCTCGGGGTTGACAAACACCTGACGACCTCCGCGTGGAAAGCTCGGGCGAACAGTCTGGGCTCAGTGCTAGCGAGCCTTCGGGATTGACGACGACTTGACGACCTAGGTTTGCGCTGAGACAATCCCGAGAAGTACGTTGCAGCGTGTGGAAAAAAACCAGCTCGGCACGTCGAGCCGCGATTAACGCCACGCGACAACAAAGGGACGTCCGAGATCGTCCCCAACTTGGCGGGGCCACCGAGGAGTGCCACGACAGCCACGACGGGTCCACACAGCACCTGTTGAGCCGGGGTGCTTTGCGTGGGAAATATTCGCGCTGAACCAAGGCCAAGTCGGTGCGTACCACGCGGCCTCCTTCCCAGCGTTACCCAGATGCTCAAGGCGACATCGCGACCGTCCCCTTCTCAGGCTAGGTACAATGGATGTTCAGGCGGAGGGAATGTCGGCGTGGACCACATGAGCATCTTTGAGGTGCCATGCGTCAGTGCCTAACGCCCTCGAACTACTGCGCGGGAATTCTCCATCACGGTATTCTAGGAGGGATGCACCAAGATTGGGACCACGCCACGTAGCGCAGGCACGACCCTGCGTGTAACAGCCATGAAAAGCGCTTCCTGGGCGAAGCGCTTTTGGCAAACAGCCATGCATGGCTGGTGGCACTTCGGAGACGGCGCCGCCACATGAGGGTACATGCATTGCGGCATCCTGCACAGGGAGTTGCGTGGAGCGCGGCAGGTGCGGAGTCGCCCACGACCATACCCATCCGGGGCCCCACTGAAGGTCGCTCATTCTGCCTTCCATTCTGGGTTCGTTCCAATTTTTTCTACTCCCTTTCGCACTCCACGCGTGCAGGACAGTCGGTTCGCCGACCAGACGTCGTAGTCGGCGTCGCCACAATAGCCAGAGAGACTGATACGAGACGTCGCAGATAATTGTTTAGGAGACCGACCGGTAGGATACCGCCGACCACGAGGTCTAGCGCAACACAGCCGCACTCCAACCAACCCACCGCCGACACTGTAGACGCCGACATTAAAGTGCAACTGGCACGGGTAGATATTGGCGCTGAGCTTGATGCCTGCGAAGCTTATCAAATAAACACCGCCAGCGGGACTCATTACCGCCTAGACTAGGCCGCCAGGATCCACGTTCACGGTAGACCAAACGCCTAAAATCACATGGCCGACGTTGACATGACAGGCGGTCCTACCCCTGCGAGCCATGGGGGAGACGGACGACCGGTGGAGCGTACACCGACCAATAACCCCTCGTTGACCCTGCCGTTGCTTTACGATCTCAACCCAAATCCCGAAAGGATGACGTCGAAGACAGCCCATGGCCTCGACGGGGCGCAGGTCCGCGCACGTTGGAAGAGAAGCTCAGAGGGGAACGTGCGTTCATAGAGGATCTGTTGAACGAGGACGAGCTTGAGGACCTGTTAAACACGGCCGTGCCACGAGAACACTGGAAGGCGGCCGACTTCGTCGAAGAAGATATGGTCTACGCGTGCGTCGCCGTACTCGTGATGGAAGCAATGCGCCACCGGAAAACCCTAGAGGCTAAGAGCACGCTCAAGCTGTACACCTCTTGGATTTACCACTACAAGAGGTGGGCGGCGAAGATGCTGAAGGGAATACGCAACAAGCTTCTGGATGAGGGAAGAACGAGGCACGTCGACGAAATCAGGCACTGGATCCACTGCAATAAGAGCAAGGATTGGGACAACGAGAAGGTGGTCCGGCGTAAGTACATCTGGCTGCATGGCCCGCGTGTCACTGAAACGCGACTGCGCGCCTACATCAAGTACAAGATCGACACCGAGTCGAACGCGTCGGTGAAAGCGAACACGGTGTACATGATCCTCGGCCGCATCAAGGCCTGCCAGATGGCGGCAAAGGGTGGAGGCGACGCTCTACAAGGAGAAGTAGTTGGGCATCATGCGGGAAATCTTGGTGGTACGGTCGGAGGTGCGAGTCATGGTCCGCACCAAAAATCAGAGTGACGTCAGGTAAGTTGGCATACACCGCCGAGTTCTGTAGCCATTGATTTGTGGTCGACGACGTAAACTCATATTTTCTTATTGCTTCATCGATAGGAATTGCGTAGACCGTCAACACGACACCATCGGCGACACATACACCGCCGAACAGTTCCGCCAGATCATGATGAGGGTGCTACCTACCTGGACGGCGTCGACGTGGAGCCCGCGGGCAACCACTCCTTTTGCAGACGCTATGGAGGTTTCTTCTTGTCAAGGTGCTCATCCTACTCTCCCACCACAGTCACCTGAGCGGGGCCAGCATCGGCGAGATCACACTCCCATACATCTTCTTGTACCGACTCGCTAGCACCTCGTTGGTGAACCTGGAAAACCAGCCGGTCGTCATGGTGATCGCCGCGCGGAACTCGAAGACATCCAAGGATGCACGTATTCAGCAGAGCTACGCGGCGTGGCACCTCGAAGCGGAGTTGTGCGCCGTCGGCGAGGCCGGCCTGTGGCTGCACTTTATCCTCGACTGGATCGGCCAGTTTCACGGCGCCGACCTCATTCCGCCGGTGGACACCAGCACGCGCGAGCGCTCGTACAAGAAGCACATGTTCTTTGCCCGCAACGATGAGGAGCAAAATGAACTCCCTGCTGCCAGCCACCAGCAATGGATGAGGCAGATGTGGAAGACGAACGGGGTGTTCCGCAAGCGGAACGTCCACGCCGCTCGAGCAGGCAGGGCGCAGGAGATGGCCATCGGTGGTACGTATCGCGCCGAGATAGCCGAGCTTGGCCACTGGGCGATCAACAAGATGACTCGAGCTTACATCACAGCCATTTCCGTCGGCGTGGTGATGAAGAAGGCCGGCTATTCGGGTGCCAAGCAAGACTACTTCTTGGGTCGCAGTAGGGTGCCACCCTTCGATGAACTCCTGGAGCTCATCGCCAAGCACATCTTCCCCAGCGTTGACGACCTGCTTAAGAAGGTATTTTAATCGACGAAGCCAACGTTACATGTAATATCGTCCGACCAACCGACTGCAATCACTCGCTTCTGTTGTCAAATCGCAGGCGGAAGAACTCGCAAAAGAGGGGTCTGAGGCCGACATCGCCGCTGTGCATTTCAGGCGTACCCTCCAGATGTTGCGCCGCATCGTCACCGAAGACGTCGCTGTGAAACTCATTTGCACCCCTTGACATCCGTACGTCCAATATTCCAAGCTCTGCAGGGTTCCCCTCTTCCAGCACTTGGCGAAGAGGGTCGAGAAGGTTGACACCGAGATGATAAAAAAAGCGCCGAGACCCGACCCTCATTGAGCCCGAGGTGAGCCATTGATCAAGTCAACGTCGCCCTAAGCCTAGTGAACGCAACAACCCTTCACATTCAATGTCAATCGCCGACCATTGTAGGAGATATCTGTCCGCATGGACGCCAAACATGTGGTCATGTTGCTCACCGATACCCCGAAGTACAAGAGGGAACGGTCAGCGGTCTAGAAGATTGACCTCGAAGAGGATATCGAGAAGCACGACGCCACCATCGCGATGCTGACGGCTGAGATAACCCGTCTCACCGAGGCACTCCGCGTCTCAAAAGCAAGGAGGATGCCAGAGGCGCCGCCATCTGCGAACGAGTAGTCGCCGAAGCACCAGTGGCTCCGCGGACTAGGCAAGTTCGGGTGCCAGAGCCAAGAAACCCCCGAAACTCCCACAGACGGTCGAAGAGGCTAGTTACGAGCTCAACGTGGTGCAGCCTTGGCGGGATGCAATGACCGTGAGGGATGCGTGGCGCCTCTAAACTTCCTGCACCAGCGCCGAGGACACACGTCGTCTATGCGACAGGTTCGCAAAGCCGGGATTTGTCGACCGCCACACCCTCCTCAAAGGCGCGGCGCATGGAGCACTCGGGAAGAGGATGCGCCACATGATAAAGGTCATTGATGCAGTGCGCCATCTTCCCCGGAGCGACGGCGAGGCCGACACAGAAGCCGTCGTCGCTGCGCTTAACAAGATCGCGGCACGTGGCATTGGGACCTTCTCGGATGCCCTCACTGTGCTCAACGCGGACACCATAGCGACGTACTCCGAGCCGGGTAAGGGCGTTAAGGGGCTCGGCAAGAGGGAAGTTTCCAAGCTTCGTGTCGCCTGTGCGTTCATGGCTCGCGGGCTGAAGCCAGAAAAGTGGGTCGCCGAGCTGTTCCCGGACACCTGGAAGGAGCAGATGAAGATGACGTTGGCCGACATGGCCTAGGAGGACGCTGTGCAGCTGCCCCCGACCAAGACGTCGACCAAGCGCAAGAAGACCACGTAAATACTCTCGGCGACATATTACTGTGGGATTTTGCATGTTATAGATGGTGATGCAGCTTTCATAGTTTTCAGACTGTTATAGTTGTCCACTTCAACGCCCGATTTGATATTGTAAAAGTTGTCAATTGCAACCACTTGTAGCATGATTGTGTGCTTCTCACATTGCAACCCGGCGGCATCGCACACACAACCCGTACATGTCAGAACTTATAGCTTACTTGTTTCTGTAGGCTATAGTGGGGTATCCCATAGGGGGTACAACCCAATTAGGGTTTCCTATTTGTACTCACTTCGTTCATAGTCATTTCATTCTCGTTCTTTGTTTCCACATGGAATCAGAGCAGGTTCCCTCCTAGGGACTGCTTCTAGGGCCCACCGAACCGCGCCCCGAGGCGCGTTCTTTTTTTTAGCGACCCGTCGTGTCGCCCCTAGCGGACCGTTGCGCCGCCCTTCCCCTCGCGGCTCCGCCGCCCTTCCCTAGCGGCCCCGCCGCCCTTCGATCGCGGCCCCGCCGCCCTCTGCTACGCGGCCCCGCCGCCGCCCTTCGATTGCGGCCCCGCCGCCCTCGGCTACGCGGCCCCGCCGCCCTCTGCCTCGCGGCCCCGCCGCCCTCTGCTACGCGGCCCCGCCGCCCTCTGCTACGCGGCCCCGCCGCCCTCTGCTACGCGGCCCCGCCGCCCTTCAATCGCGGGCCCGCCGCCCTTTACCACGCGGCCCCGCCGCCCTCTGCTACGCGGCCCGCCGCCCTCTGCTACGCGGCCCCGCCGCCCTTCGATCGCGGCCCCGCCGCCCTCTGCTACGCGGCCCCGCCGCCCTCTGCTACGCGGCCCCGCCGCCCCCTGCTACGCGGCCCCACCGCTCTCTTCGGTCGCGACCCCGCCGCCCTCTGCTACGCGGCCCCGCCGCCCTCTGCTACGCGGCCCCGCCGCCACTCTGCTACGCGGCCCCGCCGCTCTCTTCGGTCGCGGCCCCGCCGCCACTCTGCTACGCGGCCCCGCCGATCCGCCCAGCAGCAGCCGCCGCCGCCTGAGCCGCCGCCGAGCCGCCGCCGAGCCGCCGCCAAGCCGCCGCCGAGCCGCCGCCGAGCCGCCGCCCGAGCCGCCGCCGAGCCGCCGCCCGAGCCGCCGCCGAGCCGCCCGAGCCGCCGCCGAGCCGCCCGTGACGCCCGAGCCGCCCGCGCCGCCCAGCAGCCGAGCCGCCGCCGAGCCGCCGCCGCCTGAGCCGCCGCCGCCTGAGCCGCCGCCGCCTGAGCCGCCGCCGAGCCGCCGCCGAGCCGCCGCCGAGCCGCCGCCCGAGCCGCCGCCGAGCCGCCCGTGCCGCCCGAGCCGCCCGCGCCGCCCGAGCCGCCTGCGGAGCCGTGCTGCTGTTCCTCTGCTACTGACCTACCCGCCTCTCCCAGCCCGGTGAGATTTTCAGCTGCTGTCATGGCCACCCCCAATGTTCTTACCTTTGACGCTGAGGGGAGGGCCATTGACTTTGCCGTCTGGATTGAAGACCTGCAGCTGTACTTACTGTGTGATGCGATAGATGAGGTCTCTCTCTTTGACTTTGTCTCTGGCGCTGTCCCTGCCCCACCTGCTGATGCTGACTCTGCCGTTCGCTCCAAGTGGGCGACCCGCGATGCTGCTGCACGTCTTGCTGTGCGTCGCCACCTCCCTTCCTCTGAGCGTGCCCACTTTAGTCAGTGCAAGACCGCTCAGGCCTTGTACGATGCTGTAGTTGCACGCTACTCCTCCCCTTCCTCCGCTACCCTTAGCCGCCTCATGCTACCGTTTCTCTTCCCTGACCTCGCTTCCTTTCCCACTGTCGCTGACCTCGTTACCCACCTCCGTGCTAGTGACACCCGCTACCGCGCTGCCCTTCCTGCTGAGTTCCGCGCTGCGAACCCTCCTCCCATGTACATCACTCTCTACTTTCTCGTCACCCGTCTCCCTGAGTCCCTTCGTGTCGTTAGGGACCACTTTCTCTCTGTCTGTCCCACCACTCTCACTGTCGACCTCCTTGAGGAGTCCCTGCTAGCGGCTGAGAAGAGTATTGTCGCTGTAGGGGCCTCTCGGGGTGACCCTCGCACCCCCATCTTTGAGGGGTGTGGTCCTTCCCCCCTGCTGCCCTCTGTCGCCTCTGCCGCTGCGGCCGACCTCACTGGTTTTGAGTCGGTCGGCGCGGCGTCTGCCCCCAGCGGCAGACGCCGCGCTGGCAAGGGCAAAGGGGGCAAGGGAGCGGGTGGAGCTAGAGGGGGCGGTGGAGGAGGCGGTGGGGGTGGCGGGGGGAGTGGGGGTGGCGGTGGGGGTGGTGGCGGGAGTGGAGGTACTGGTGGCGGCGGTGGAGGCGGAGGTGGCGGTGGAGGTGGTAGCGGAGGAGGCGGTGGGAGCGGTGGGAGCGACGGTCCTGGTGGGGGAGGTGGCGGTGGAGACGGGAGTGGCGGTGGAGGCGGGGGTGGCAGTGGAGGCGGGGGTCGGAGTGGCTCGTCCCAGCGGAGCAGCTCCGGGGGTGGTCAGCGCCAGCAGCAGCAGCAGCAGCAGCCGCAGCAGCAGCCACAGCAGCAGCAGCGCTCTCGCACCGTCCCTGCCCCTCAGCAGCTCCGTGAGTGGTACTCGCAGCGTCAGCGTGGTGGTGCGCTTGGTCCTTGCCCCTACGTTCTCCGCACCGGTGACCGTGCAGGGGAGAGGTGTGGAGGCGCCCACACTGCCCGCCGCTGCTTTGGCCGCCTGACTGACGCCTGGCGTCAGCAGTTTCCGGAGGCAGCTGAGATCCCCCGCTGGGGAGAGCTGTCTAGGGCTGGTGTAGCTATTTATGATCTTGATTTTGATGCTATTCTCTCTGCTATGTATGCTGCGATTGGTAGTGATGAGGATGACTGTTACCGTTGTTTCCCGCCCGACCCGGGCATTGGTACTGCCGCGTCAGGTACTAGTGAGGCTGCTGCTCTAGGTGCCAGTGCATCTGTGCTCTCAGGTGCTGGTGAGTCTACCCTCTCAGGTACTGTGTCGGCTTCGGCCTCTCACACCTTCACCCTTGACTCTGGAGCGTCTCGCTCCTTCTTTCGGGACCGCACCACTCTCACGCCGCTGAGTCGGCCGGTTGCGGTGTCCCTGGCTGACCCCTCTGGGCGGCCTGTCCTGTCTCGCTTCTCCACTGTCCTCCCGTGTCCGGCGGCCCCCTCTGGCACCCTGACTGGTCTTTACCTCCCCTCGTTCTCGACGAACTTGGTGAGTGGTGCTGACCTCCAGGATGCGGGTGTCCACCAGTTCACCCCTGCTCGTCAGCGGGTGACCCACTGCACGGAGGCAGGATACAGGTCGCCACCTGGCTACGTTTACACGTCGGCCAGGGTCGAGCCTGTACACTCTGACCACTGCTTCTCCTCCAGGTGCTGAGTTTGATAGGGTCACTTCGTCTGGTCAGGTGTTTGCTGCAGCGTCCAGGTCTGGTCCTGAGTCTGCCCCCTGCTCGTGCCGTCGTCTGTCTCACGAGACCCTCCTCTGGCACCACCGCCTTGGCCACCCCTCTCTGCTTCGGCTCAGGGGCATGGCCTCGCGAGTCCTTGTGTCTGGTCTTCCCCGGTCTCTCCCTCCCCTTCCTCCGGGCCCTGGCCCCACCTGTGTCCCCTGTGTCGAGGGGCGCCTAGCGTGCTGCCCCTCACTCCTCCCAGTTTCCTCCGACAGAGGCCCCGTTGCAGACGCTTCACATGGATGTGTGGGGCCCAGCCCGCGTCCGTGGACAGGGTCAGGAGCGCTACTTCCTGCTGGTGGTTGACGACTACTCGCGTTACACCACAGTCTTCCCCTTGCGCAGCAAGGGTGAGGTCACTGCGGTGTTGATCGACTGGATCCGCGCAGCTCGTCTCCAGCTTCGGAGGAGCTTTGGCTCTGACTTCCCTGTTTTGCGTCTGCACTCGGACAGAGGCGGAGAGTTCTCCTCCTGGCCTCCTGAGTGCCTACTGTCGTGCGCGAGGCATCCGTTAGACCTTCACGCTTCCGGACTCACCGCAGCTGAATGGGATTGCTGAGCACCGCATTGGCATGGTCATGGACGTCGCTCGTACGTCCATGCTGCATGCGGCTGCTCCCCATTTTCTGTGGCCGTTTGCGGTCAGGTACGCTGCGCACCAGATCAACCTTCACCCCAGGGTCTCTCGACCGGTAGACCTCCCCAGCCCTGCTGTGGACGGGGAAGGTTGGCGATGCGTCGGCGTTCCGGGTGTGGGGATCTCGGGCGTTTGTTCGCGACCTGTCTGCGGACAAGCTGTCCCCTCGTGCTTCTCCCTGCGTCTTCCTGGGGTTCCCCCCCGACGCCCCTGGGTGGCAGTTTTACCACCCCACCTCTCGACGTGTTCTGTCCTCCCAGGACGTCACGTTCGACGAGTCGGTACCCTACTACCGCCTCTTCCCCTACCGCACTCCGTCCCTCCCCCCACCCCCGCTCTTCTTGGTACCGGGTCCCCCCCCGGTAGTCCCCCTCCCCCCTCAGGGTCCTGCCCCTTCAGGTGTGTCCCAGGTAGACGCGGTCGAGCCTGTCGAGGTCACTGGTGACTCTGGTGCTGCTGCGGGAGCTGAGCCTGGGGGTGCGGAGTCTGGGGGTGCTGAGCCTGGAGGTGCCGAGTCTGGGGGTGCTGAGCCTGGGGGTGCTGTGCCTGGGGGTGCTGAGTCTGGAGGTGCCAAGTCTGGGGGTGCTGTGCCTGAGGGTGCTGAGCCTGGGGGTGCTGAGCCTGGGGGTGCTGAGCCTGCGGGTGCCGTGCCTGGGGGTGCTGTGTCTAGGGGTGCTGAGCCTGGAGGTGCTGTGCCTGGGGGTGCTTCGTCTCGCCGGGAGCCACTCTCCCCACAGGAGCTGCGTGAGTGGTTTGCCGGGCGCTGGAGGCGTGCTGCTGGTGCTGGTGGTTCTTCGGCTGCAAAGGGTACTGCTGCTGCGCGCCCCGCCGGCGCTCGTACTGTGGGTGCTGGA